CAGAAACTTTTTCAAAGGCATCCCTCCAAAAGGTACACTTATAATGAGCACTGTAACACACATTAAGTCTGAAATATTATTTTTAAAAAGTCACCAGAAAACAAACCAAATAATGTGCTGCAGCCATTCAGAGTATATTTATTTATTTGTTCATTTACCGTATTTATATATCGCCTTTCACAGCCCAAAAGCGACTCAAGGCAGTTTACATTCGGCACAATTTGATGCCCCCTGACACATAAAATACAATTAAAAACATTAGCATATAAAATATAGGTTCATAAAAAGTCAATAAATACATAAATCCCCATTGTCTCCTTACTGAAATCACTATATATGCCTCTCCTCTCTTATGCGATCCCTCATTGACCGAGGGCCAGGGATTCCCAGTTCTCAGTGTCTATGCCAGAGTTTTTAAGATTGGCTTTGAGCCCATCTTTAAATGTCTTTTCCTGTCCACCAACATTCCGTTTTCCATTCTTGAGTTCAGACATGGTGATGTGCATCAGTGCATCTCCATGGACTGGCCTTGGTTCTGGTCCACAATTAGTCAGTACTGTGGCAGCCTGCAGCAAGTTCCTGGAACGTTTCGGTAAGTACTACACAACAAAACCAATTTGTTTCAATCCACCTCTAAACTGAATTATAGTACCTGTATAGAAGCATTGATCCTCCAGCATGACTCTATGGTTAACTTCCAATAGAATTGTTCTAGAGAAGTATCTAAAAATCTAGGTCCTCTAACACAGGCATGGGCAAACCTGGGCTCTCCAGGTGTTCTGGACTTCAACTCTCACCATTCCTAAAAGGCTCAGGCCCTTTCCTTTCTAACTGGCTGAGGGAGAAAAGGAAGGGGCCTGAGGCTGTTAGGAATAGTGGAAGTCCAAAACACCTGGAGGCCCAAGTTTGCCCATGTCTGCTCTAGCATGAGTCTGCAGTTAACTCCCAACAGAATTTGACTATAGAGTTGCACTAGATGACCTACAGATCCCTACAGAAACTGCAGTATATGAGCCAAAACCACAAAAGTGAAATCTGCAAAGGTAAAAGGTTAACTTCAGTTCTATTTCTGTTTTAGGCTTCGTGCAGAATTGCTCAATTCAGAACCCTTTGTATAGAGTTACTCCAACTACTAACAGCATGAATGCGTGGTGTGAGCAGGAAAACCTGCACTCTAACCATCCAGTGAACAGCGCACACGTGGAAGGCAGTTGCTCCTTTCACCCCATTAGCCTCAAGGCAAATCAAAAGGGAGGATTGCAGCATGGCTACTGTAGAGCAGTGGCTCCCAACCTGTGTTCTATGGACCACTAGTGGTCCACATAAACAAAATATGGTCTGTGGCCTTACCATTACTACACCGTTTCCTTGAAATCACATGGCGAGAGCAACTGGTCTCACAAAACCCGCTTATAGTGCTGAGGCAACAGAGATGTCAGGAGGGGAGAGGCTGACTACCCACGAAAGATTACTACTACCACATCAGCTCTAGATTATTAAATACAGTAGAGTAGCCAGTAGAATCCCACTTATCTGACATAAATGGACTGAAAGAACGTCAGATAAATGAAAATGTCAGATAATATGGAGTTTCCTACTGTTATGCGTTCAACGCAGAGAATATTAGCAACAGGGACTCAAAGTCTAAGGGCTGAGAAGGGCAGTATACAAATATAGTAAGTAAGTAAGTAAGTAAATAAATAAATAAATAAAGGCTTAAGGCAAGGCAACACCTCGAGGCTAGAGTGGCCCAGCAGGAAGTGGCCGGATGCGGAAGAGGAGCATGGAAATCACAGAGAGAAGGAGGGAGGACGCTTCCGCTTCTGGTCCTGCCGTTTTCCCCCCTTTCCCTCCTCCTCCTCCTCCTCCTCCTCTTGTCTTTTTACTTATTGGGAATGGAGAAAGAGTTGGGGAGCACTCCTTTAATTGAATGGGAAATGCTGGAGGAAAAGGGGGCATTAGATAAGAGTGTCGGATAAGACGGAATGTCAGATAAGCAAAGGTTGGATATGCGAGACTCTACTGTATGGTTTTCTATGGGCGAGCAGATGGATACTACTGGATGGCATATGTTCTGTATCAGAAACTAGAGCTGATGTGGTCTATCCAATGAAGTTTTCTGAATCAGCACCCCAAATAACCAAACCAAATCTAAAGTTGACCAAAAACTGGTTTGTAACCCTTTTAGTACTAATGTTGGAGAGTGGTCCCTGGACAAAGTAGTCCCTGGTCAAATAAAAGGTTGGGAACCAGTGATCTAACCCAATGAGGGACTAGATCAAGAGCAGTGATAGATCAAACAGGCTGTAATGCGTGGCTCTGAGGAACTGAGCCAGTAAAAGATGATTCAGGGAAGGGAGATGCAGAGGACTTAAATTGCTTTTCCTGCACACGATGTGTGTCCTGGTTCTGATCCTCATTGAATTCTCTCTCACCTACTTTTTCTGGAAAGACACATAAAGTGCAATCACATGTTTGTTAACTAGGTAAATTGAAGCTGCAGAGATATGTGGGTAACATTTAATCTACAGTGGTCCCTCGCTACTTCGTGGTTCACTTTTCACAGGCTCACTGTTTTGTGGTTTTTCAATAAATATTAATGTAAAATATTTATTGTGGTATTTTCGCTATTTTGTAGGGTTTTGCGGTACTTGGTAAAACAACAATCCCAAGCATCAACTGGTTCTCCCACCAAATTAGACAAATTCACTGCCAGCAAGGGCTGGTTTGATAAATTTCAGAAGCGCTATGGACGTAAGAGCATTTGTCTGTGTGGAGAGGCTTCCTCTATAGATAGAGCCGGAGCCAAGGATTACGTGAACAACACGTTCAAGGAGGGTTATGTAGTGTATAAGTGTGTGGAGAAGGTTTATAAAGACTTAAAATAGTGTATAACTACTAAAATAATATATAAATATTAAAATAAATATAGCCTCCCTGCTTTGCGGATTTTAACTTTTCATGGGTAGTCCTGAAACGTAACACCTGCGATAAGTGAGAGAACACCATATATAAGTGAGGGGGGAAAATAATAGAGGAAGTTACAAGGAAGAAGATATGGACTAAGGATCATGGCGACAAGAGCGAAACACTACTCACTGTCACTGGACCATGGGAGAGTGATCCCTGCTCAAAGTAGTCCCTGGTTTAAAAAAAGGTTGAGAAACACTGCTGTAGAATGAATGCAGTTTGACTCCACTTTCAGGTCCATGGTTTGCTGCTATGGAATCGTGGGAGTCAGCTTGGTGAAGGCCCAGCCTTCTTTGGCAGAGAAGACCCAGTAACACCACAATTCCCCTGCTTCCATAGCTTTGAGCCATGGCTGTCAAAGTGCATTAATTCGTATTATTTCCCACTACTATCTCATCCAGGGTTTTATCATTTTTATCTTGTGCATTTGGCCCGCCCATTGTGTTCTATCTTTTCATTATGTTATTTTGCAACTGTTTAATTTATTTTGTTACTTTATGTATCTTATTTTGATGTAATTTTTTGTTTCTTTGTATTTTATTTTGCTGTATTGTATTTTTAGGCTTGACCTCATGTTAGCTGTCCCAAGTCCCCTTTGGGGAGATGGTGGTGGGGTATAAATAAAGATTATTATTATTATTATTTGAAACACAACAAGATGAGTCCACAGCAGACAAGATCACTCTGCTGGCTGTTGTATTGGATCACACGTTGGACACTTCCCAAGTGTCTAGGACTGTGTGATGTATCGGCTAATGATGTGTGCCGACCCTAGTAAGGTTGCCTTCTGCAGCTGGCAGAAGGGAATTTTGTCAGCGCCGATTGTGTTTAAATGCAGGCCAAGATTTTTGGGCACTGCACCCAGTGTGCCAATAACCACTGGGACCACCTTTACTGGCTTGTGCCAGAGTCTTTGCAGTTCAATCTTTAAATCCTCACATTGTGTCAGCTTTTCCAGTTGTTTCCCTTCAATCCTGCTGTCACCTGGGATTGCGACATTGACGATCCATACTTTGTTTTTTAATATGATTGTGAGGTCAGGAGTATTGTGCTCCAGAACTCTGTCTGTCTGAATTCGGAAGTCCCAAAGGAGTTTGATGTGTTCATTTTCTGTAACTTTTTCCGGCTTGTGATCTCACCAGTTCTTTGTCGCAGGCAGATGGTATTTGTGGCACAGGTTCCAATGAATCACCTGAGCAACGGTGTTATGCCTCTGCTTGTAGTCTGTCTGCACGATCTTCTTGCAGCAGCTCAGGATGTGATCTATTGTTTCATCTGCTTCCTTGCAGACTCTACATTTGGGATTTGTTGTCGACTTTTCAATTCTGGCTTTGATGACATTTGTTCTAATGGCTTGTTCTTGGACTGCCAGAATCAGGCCCTCTGTCTCCTTTCTCAAAGTTCTATTTGTGAGCCACAGCCATGTTTTTTTTTTGTCAATTTGGCTCACAATTTTTGCCAGGAATTGTCCATGAAGAGCCTTCGTTTGCCTTCTGCTCTGGGTTGTGTTTTTAGGGTATTGACTCTTTGTCTTTTGAACTTGAAGCAGTTTACTATTATTGACTTCCTTCAATGTTGGTTCTTGACTGCCTCCTCCTCCTCCTTATTATTATTATTGCTGGTGGGGAAGGACAAGGGGTCTGGTAGAGGGTGGCAGCAGAAAAGGGAAAGCTGGCTTTCTCCTCCTCCTCCTGCCTGGCTCCGAGATGAGGAAATGCTTGGGAGAGGAGGGTCACAGGGCCTCTGCGTGGGCGGGGCGGTCGAGGAGGGAGGGAGGGAGGGAGGGAGAGGGGGGAGGGGGGCTGCCTGGTTGCGGCGGGGTCTGCTGTGTTGCTGAGAGGGCGAGCGAGGGAAGGAGGGGAGGGAGGGAGGGAGTGCGCGCGCACCAGGCAACATCAGCCCTTGCTTTGGCGCGTGCAGCAGCAGCAGCAGGAACATTAGCCGGGTTTCCTGCTCCTCCTGCAAGGCTGCTGCCTTTCGCAGTGCTTCTGCTCCCCCCCCCCCCCCCCCCCCCCCCCCCCCTCCCTCCTCCCCTTTTTGGGGACCATGGCGGGGTCTGTCCTTGCTCTCCTCCCGGAGGAGGAGCTGCCCACCGGCCCCGGCCTCCAGGGACAACGATGCCCGTGATTTCAGCGCCGAGGATAGACAGAGCCCTCGCCTTCTTCCAGCTCGGTGGGTTTGCCTACCATTCATTGTGATCTTGTATTATTATTATTATTCAGAGGTTGTTGCATCGCAGTGATCATCTTCATCATCATCATTACTGTTGCCTTGTTGGTTCTTATTCTTAATATTGATTTGTGGAATACTGACCATGATAGTTATTAATATTCTTGGTTTATGATATGATGCTTGTTATTATGTCTATGTTGATGCTGATGGTTATTATTATTGTTTGCTGTATTCTGATGGTCGTTGCAATGCTATTGGGTTGATGTATGGTGGGGGTCGTTGCAATGCCATTGGAGTCATGGATGGTGAGGGTGATTGTGATAATATACGTGCCAGTTACGTATATTTTTGTTTGTTGACCGTGATAGTTGATATTGTGAATCGTGATATTGTGAATCGATATTGTGATGGTAGGTGGGGATGGCACTATGGGTGATTTGTTGTTGTTATTGTTTTCTTTGCTCTGCCCCTCCTTCAGCCCCAAGAACTGCAGCATCAGCTGGTGGGCAGAGACTAATAGCCTTGCACACATCCCTCCAGGGTGCATTGAGAGGATGGAGGCGTAGCAATGCTGCATTGGCTTGCTTCCTTCCCCTTCTCTTCCCCCTTCCCTTCCCTTTCGCTTCTTTCCCCTATTTCTTCCTTTCTTTCTCTCCCATGTTTTTCCTAGGCCCCATTCCATCTGGACAGAAAGGGGTCTTGTCCAGAAGCCCTCCTGTGTCTTGGGCTCCTTCCAGCCCCAAAGCCTCCTCTGCCAGATGCACTGCAAGGCCAAGGGAAGGGGGCGGGGGCGGATTTGGTGCGGATTCGGGACGTGGGCGTGGACAGTGGCCTCCCTCCCCCTCTTTCGCCTGGTTAGTCCAATCCCTTCCTGGTTGGCCTGACATCTTCAAATCTCCTTAAGACTTACATTGAAAGCTGTCTAAGCAGCTTCCTTTAGGGGAGTATCTAGCCCAAACGGCACCTTTACACATCATCATCATAAGGACAACAACTACAACAGCCCACCACAGCACAGCCCCCAATATTCTTGGTATCATGGTTTTTAGGCCTATCCCTGGGGTGATTTGGGGGTACTGATTGCTTTAGATAGACCTTCTCACTTCTAATTTAGAAGATATGGTTATTACGGTTTTCTATGGACAAGTAGATGGTGACTGGTAGATGGTATATGTTCTCTATAGAATCATAGAATCATAGAGTTAGAAGAGACCTCGTGGGCCATCCAGTCCAAGAAGCAGGAAAATCACATTCAAAACACACCCGACAGATGGCCACCCAGCCTCTGTTTAAAAGCCTCCAAAGAAGGAGCCTCCACCACCTTCCGGGGCAGAGACTTCCACCGCTTAACGGCTCTCACAGTCAGGAAGTTCTTCCTAATATTCAAGTAGAATCTCTTTTCCTGTGGATTCCAGCCATTGTTCCGCATCCTAGTCTCCAGGGCAGCAGAAAACAAGCCTACACCCCCCTCCCTATAACTTCCCCTCACATATTTTTACATGGCGCTCATCATGTTTCCTCTCAGCCTTCTCTTCTGCAGGCTAAACATGCCCAGCTCTTTAAACTGCTCCTCATACGGCTTGTTCGCCATGCACTTTACCATTTTAGTCACCCTTCTCTGGACATATTCCAACTTCTCAACATCTCCCTTCAATTGCTGTGCCCAGAACTTGATACAGTATTCCAGGTGTGGCCTGACCAAGGCAGAATATCTGACCAAGGCAGTATCTCAAAAGCTAGAGCTGATAGGGAGAAACTGGTGCCATTTTTGGAATCAGCAGGTCAAGTATAACTAGAAACAGGTTTAACATTTGAGGCACTAAAATGTGTCTTGGCCAGTGTAATAATAATAAAGCCCTTGTGTGCAGGCCCTGTTGGGATCAGTTCCTCCACCCTCCATACATTGAGACTTAAAGGTATATACATGAAATAATAGTATTTTTGAGACCCCTTTTCCTCTGATTGTGCATCCTAAGGCATCCTGCGACTTTTAATTTGGCGTGGAACTTGGGATTTTGCACAGAAGGGTTCTACTACACTCCTGGCTCTGTTGTTCCCAAAGTTAGGAAAATGATTGGTTTTCTGGGTAATTCAGCAACCGTAGTACACTAATGTGCTCTGGAGCTCTCCAGCAGGCAATACTTAGTAGAATTATAGAATCAGAGTTGGAAAATAACCAATGGCCATCTACTCCAACCCCATTCTCTCATGTAGGAACACACAATCAACACACCCCCAACAGATGGCCATCCAGCTTCTGCTTAAAACCCCCTCAGAGAAGAAGACTCCACCACACCACATTCCACTGCCCTATTGCTCTTGCCATCAGGAAGTTCTCCCTAATGTTTAGGTGGAATCTCTTTTCCTGCAATTTGAATCCAAATATTTAAACATGTGTCCTCTGAACATTTACTTCTCAAAGCTAAACATATCCAATTCACAAAGCTACAATGTCATGAATCCACAGCTGGAGCCACACTGATTAAAATTGGCACCATTTGGCTATTACTATCTAGTTAGCCATTGTATTTGTAACATAGAGATGTTTGTAATCGCCGTGGCCTCATCCTTAGCAGGCCTTTTCCTGTGTCGGGAAGGGTTTGTTTGCATCCCAGAACAAACAAAATTCTGGTCTTCTTGGGTTATAGTTTGAGGAAGAAGGAGAGAGTGTTTATGGCTCCAATTTCCATATTTCTGTAGGAATAATTTTAGGAATTGTGTACTTTATTATTTTTAAATAACCTTTTTATTCAACAAAAAAACCTAAAGGTAAAAGTAAAGATTTCCCCTTGACATTAAGTCTAGTCGTGTCCGACTCTGGGGGGTGGCGCTCATCTCCATTTCTAAGCCGAAGAGCTGGCGCTGTCCATAGACACCTCCAAGGTCATGTGGCCGGCATGACTGCATGGAATGCCATTACCTTCCTGCTGAAGCAGTACCTATTGATCTACTCACATTTGCATGTTTTCGAACTGCTAGGTTGGCAGAAGCTGGAGCTAACAGCGGGAGCTCATCCCACTTCCTGGATTTGAACTGCCGACCTTTCAACGAAATAAAATAAAATAAAGACATATACACCCTTACAAAAATACAACAGACATTTTTCTTAATATTAAACACAAACTTAAAACATCTAACTTAGAAATTGTTTAAAAGATGTTCCTAATATGAAGCAAGAATCTGACATGGATGATGAGAGCATGCAACTAGTGTGTTCAACAAAAATCCAGGCAGTGTATAATCTAAAAAAGAATAGCAATGATTGCCTTACCAAGTCAATAATGAGAAAAATATACTTTAATTAGCAATGAGCCAGTTTTAGATCCCCAGGAGGATTCCTGCAATCTTCCTTGTCCTTTGTTTCTTATGCAAACATATTTGTGTGTGACAAGCCTTTGGCCTTCAACACATTAACAATTCAAACACAAAGCCTATTTACAATTGAGGATTATGTAGTTATTTTCTGTTTACGCATACCATTTAAATACATACACAGAGATAGGATGATTATGTTACAATAGATTGTTTTGCATTGTGTATTTGAAAACCTGCTAATCTTCTTTGGTGGTTTTAAACCAGAGGCTGGATGGCCATCATGTTGGAAGCACTTTGATAGTGTGTTAATGCATGGCAGGGGGTTGGACTGGATGGCCTTTGTCGTCTCTTCCAACTCTATGATGCTATGATTCTGGAGACTATGGCCCCTTCTATACTGCCCTATATCCCATAATCCGATCTCAGATTATCAGCTTTAACCTGGATTAGATGAGTCTCCACTTCCAGATAATCTGGGATAAGCACATAATCTGGAATCAGATCCTGAGATATAGGAGCAGTGTGGAAGGGGCCTATGGCCTCTTCTGCACTGCAGTATAAAATCTGGGTTATCTGCTTAGAACAGCACTATATGGCAGTGTAGACTGATATAATCCAGTTAAAAGCAGATAATGTGGATTATCTGTTTAGCTAATCTGTATTATTTGGCAGTGTAGAAGGGGCCTATGAGATCTACAGAATTTTGTCTTGCAGAACTTTGTAGTAAGCTAAAGTTACTCTCACTTTCCAAAACCATGACTCTAGCTCCAAAGGAAATGGCAATTTATACATTGGAGTTTAAAGGAGTCCCTGGTGACACAGTGGGTTAAACTGCTGAGGTGCTGAACTTGCTGACCGAAAGGTCACAGGTTTGAATCCGGGGAGTGGTGTGAGCTCCTGTTGTTAGCCCCAGCTTCTGCCAACCTAGCAGGTTGAAAACATGCAAATTTGAGTAGATCAATAGGTACTGCTTCAGCGGGAAGGTAATGGTGTCCCATGCAGTCATGCCAGCCACATGACCTTGGAGGTGTCTGTCTACGGACAATGCTGGCTCTTTGGCTTAGAAATTGAGATGAACACCAACCCCCAGAGTTGGACACAACTGGACTTAATGTCATGGGAAAGTCTTTACCTTTACTTACATTGAAGTTTAAAGGTAATGCCAATGTGATATTGCCAGTGTAGCAGATGTCAGAGATATACGTACAATCTAGTTCTCATCTGTGTTTTGTTATAGTGTGTTGTTTCCTGCTTATGGCAACCCTCAGCAAATCTATCACAGGTTTTCTTGGCAAGTTTTGGTCAGAGGGGAGTTCTCCCTGACACAGATGATGAGAGAATATGGCTTGCCTGAAAAGAATATGACTTGCCCAAGGTCATTTAGGATTCGAACTTTGGCATCCAGAGTCATAGTCCAGTGTACAAACCATTATACCACACTGGCTCTCACCCATGCTAGCCAAGCACATGTATAATCATTGATTTAGTTTGGTGTGTTATTTGCCATAAGATCAACTGACTTGTGGGATCTGGTTGTCAGTAGCTTTTCTCAGATCTTGCAAAGAGAGGGCCTTGGCTTCTTTACTGAATTAATCTGTTATGTGCTCTTCCTCTTTCCCTGAGTTCTTTATTCTGTTTTCCTACGACTCATGTCAAGTCATGATATGCCCAATGTACATAGTCTC